GTCTAAAAATGTTGGGAACCACTGAGGTAGAAGATGTAGCCTAGCATGAAGATGACCGTGGCTGAAACAATAGTCCAGCCTGGTCTTACCTTCTCACACAGTTCTGCTCAATTTTAGTTTCCCTTACCAGGTTAAGTCTGGTCAGTTAATTCCAAATGTTTCAACATTTTAATTTAACATTATACTCATTATGCTATAAACCCTGTGGCACAGCCTAAGATTTTATCTTTAATGGCCTTTTTATAGTGTTCATTACTTTTACTTTTGTACTTTAAGTAGTTTTAAAACCAGTACTTTTATACTTTTACTTGAGTAAAAAGCTCGAGTTGATACTTCTACTTCCAAAAAAGTATCTTTGAACCCTAGTATCTATACTTCTACTTAAGTAATGAATGTGAATACTTTTGACACCTCTGCTTGTCATCCACTTTGTTGCATTTTGCCATTGTGTATGTTCCTATGTGTTCCTGTGTCTCTCTGTTAGCAAAATATCTTATATCACTAAACCAGTGGACAGACTGAAATGACACTTTCAGAATGTAATCATTTGGATGTACATCCACAACTAATTAAACTGATTTGGAGTCAACACATTTCAAAATGGACACCACAGCTAATTGACCTTAGAAAACAAAAATAGTTCTAAACCTGTTATATTTCAGAAATTGAGCTAAAATTCGATGTGATTGTAGCCCAAAAACACATAAACCACATATTCTAATCACTGACACATTGCAGAAGATCTTTTCTTGTCAACTCTGTCTTTTAGCAAAATATCTTGTGAACCACTGGGATTGAAACTTAAATTTTTATTGACCATTATTTAACCAAGCAAATCCCACTGGGATCTCAAAGGAGGCCTGGGCCTAAAGGCAACCTATTGTGCATGTTTTTGGCCTGTGGGAAACCCCATGCAAGCACAAGGAGACCAAGCAAACTTTGCACAAAAAGACCCCAGGTTCGAACCCAGGACCTTCTTGCTGTGAGGCATCAGTGCCAACCACTGATCCATTGTGTTGCCAAAAACTCATATTCCACATATATAAAACCCATTATCTTTAGAAATAAACTCAATTTGAGATGGCTACCACAGCCTATTAACCTTAGAAAAAAAACAGCTCTTAACTGTCAATTTTGCAGGAACAATGATCAAATTTGGTGTGTTATTATCCCAGAGATATATCTAATGCATATTTTAAGCACCAACAGACCTCGCATAACAATATTTTCAAAGTTTGACCACGATTTCTCTGTTTCTTCTCATCAGAAGATGATCTTAGTCTAAAACTAAAGGTGATATGTATTCATCCGTGGAAAGCCCATCCATTTAAAAAAAGAAAAAAGTAAATGATACTTTATTTATACTTGTTTTAACTAGAGATCGACCAATACAGGTTTTTGAAGGCCGATACCGATTTTTTTTACATCAGTCTAACCGATACGCCGATACGTGCAGCCGATTTTTTTGGGGGGGCAGATTCTTGAAGCCGATACAGCCTTTTCTTCCTCCATTAACATGATAAAAATAAGAATGATAACAAATGTTACACAGGTCTCAATTAAATAAAACAAACAAACAAAAGAAAGAAAGAAAAAAAAGCTTATTAACAGAGCCTTGTCTGGTGCAGGCTGTATGAAGTGCTGCCACACAGGATTTCTAATTTCAGCCCTTAAAGAAACTTTAAAAATAAATAAATTCATGATTTATTTTATTTAGTGCTAAATATTCTGTTTTATTTGTATATTAATCAGATTAATATATTTTTCACATAAAATAAAAAGACAATGTTTTAATATCCCAGCATTTTTGATGCAAAAACAGCAACATGCCTCAAAAAAAACTGTCAAGAGGAACACAGAGAAAAAGGAGAGAGACACACACACATACAGCTTGCTATCTTTGTGAGGACTTCACACATACACAGACACACAGCACTCACAGTCTGCCTCAGCCTACGCCCGTTTTTTACACCGGGCAAAAAAATGCATTTAAACCAGCTGACATTAACTTTAGATCACAGTTTGAAATGTACACCGAAGAAAACCTGCATCACGACTTTTATACTGCAGTCAGAGCTAACGTGATCTGAGCAGCATCTGTCTGGTTCACATGGTGGACAGCAGCTCTTTACTCGCTCTTATGAACGTAACAGCGAGAAAAGACCGAGAGCTTTTTTATTTTAATCCAGCATGGAGAAGAATAGAGGTTGTCTTCTATTCCTCCGGTGAGCAGTTCCAGCATTTTTTAAAAAACAAAACCAACGTGGACACGCTAATTACAGCCGAGCAGGCAGGGAGGGGGTGAAAGTCAAAGTGAAACTAAAAACATGGCGCTCCCGTTCGAAAGTGAAACTTAACACACAGTTCTCTCCTCCTCATATTCCGACACAGAGGGCAGAAACAGCTAAATTAGACAGTTAAAACACATTACAAGTTCATAACTCACCTTTATTGTTGTTGTAACTCACATGCGCTCGCGTGACCCAAAGAATGGATCGGCCGAACGGACGGCCGTATCAGCCGATACCTGATACAAGGAAAAAAACGCAAATATCGGCCAAAAATATCATCCGGCTGATGTATCGGTTGTCCCCTAGTTTTAACCTCTCAGTTCCTTCAGTTTCATGACTGACTTTCTAAAACAAAACCTGTCTTTCTTATGTGTATGTATATTCTTGTTGCTTTCATTTGAAACCTACAGTAATTTTTCAGATATTTTCTAAAATTTCTTGCCAGGTTGCTTCTTGTGTAGTTAATTCACAGAAGGTGCTTTGTGTCCAGTGGTTGTCTAATATTATTTTGATCAGCCTTTTCTAATGGTTTTTGAGGCAGATATCCTGCAGTATCAGCTTTGTTGTCTGCTCTCTGCAGGTCCTGGTAGGCAACATCCATTAACTGTGGCCAAGGGGGTCAGGGAAGACCTGTGGGCCAGCTCCAGCTTCAATGTGTCCATTCACGCAGGCATCCGATCCTCAAACTGGAAGCTGCTGACGGGATACCCTGGTCAGTATCCTCCATTAGATGGAATGACATGTTCAGTCTAAGAGACAGACTCAGAAAATCATGTATTCACACTCATCAGGGTTCCTGCAGATCCTTAAAAAGTCTTAAAAGGCATTGAATTCATCAATCCAAAAATAAGGCCTTAATTATCCTTAAAATGTCTTAAATCAATCTTTCAGTCTTAAAAATGTTAACACGTTATAAGTAGGATACGTAATTTGTCTCAAATATTAAAATAAACGGTAATGTTTTTTTATTTTTTTAATAATTTACTGAACCTCTCTTGCAACTACTTGTTATGTGTTAAAACTAGATACCGCATAGCGGTAACATAATGACCCCCGCACACACAAATGCACCAGAACTCAGAAGTCTTTATTCTTAATAAATGTCATGCTACTAGATGCTTTCCAAAATTGTAGTGGTTTGGTTGGGGGTCGGGGATGTGTTGGTTGACCTCATGGATGGTCTCTCATCAGAGCTAAACAACAAAGGAAATCTGAAGCTCATATGTTTAATAGTTTTTGAGCTATAACCATTTTTGTATGTCCAGATACCCCTTTTTCAGAAAATTGGGGGGGTGGGCACTGATTGGTGGGCTTAATGGATAAAGTTTCATCAGAGCTAAACAACCAAAAAAAAATCTTAAGCTTCTATGGTGAACAGTTTATGAGTTATAAGCATTTTTGCATGTCCAGACACCCATTTTTCAGAAAATTGGGGGTCCGGGGGCGTGGGGGGCACTGATTGGTGGGCCATATGGATAGAGCTTCATCAGAGCTAAAGAACAAAAGAAATCTGAAGCTCCTATGTTGAACAGTTTCTGAGTTATAAGCATTTTTGCAGGTCCTGACACCCCATTTTTGAAAGGAGCCCCCTTCTCAAATATGGGGTGTTTTGTAAAACCGTTGGCTGGTGCAGTGTAGGTCAGACTCATCTACAGCCCTAACAAATTTCATGTTGATCGGTGCAGTCATTTTTGTGCTACGGTTGACCAAAAATCACTGAATAAAAAAACAACAATAAACAGTACGAAAACAATTTTCAGATAAATCAGGGGTCCGGGGGATGGGGGGCACTGATTGATGGGCCTGATGGATAGAGCTTCATCAGAGCTAAACAACAAAAGAAATCTGAAGCTTTTATGTTGAAGCGTTTCTGAGTTATAAGCGATTTTGCATGTCCTGACACCCCCTCTTTGAAAGGAGCCCCCTCCTCAAATATGGGGTCTATCGTAAAACTGTTGGCTGGAGCAGTGTAGGTCTGACTCTTCTACACTCCTGCCAAACTTCATGTTGATCGGTGCAGCTGTTTTTGTGCTACGGTTATATGACTCCTGCTTACGCTTCACGTGTGGGGGTCATAATAAACATTTGTGTAAAATTGTTGCTAACTGGGGATTTTTTTTACATTTGTGTTTATTGTGAAGTTGGGTCTAAATTTCATTGGAATCAAAAAAGTCTTAAGAAGCCTTAAATTTAAGCAATCGGGGAGCGCACAGCTCTGCTAGGACCCTAGCGGTGTTTACCTTACTATTGTCCAGTGAAGGCGCCCCGTCCTGTCAACAGAACCGAGCACCCTGCCTACAAAAATTAACTCTGCCGCAGCTCCTTAAATCTATCCATGTTGTTCGGACGCACAATGGCCAGCTTCTTGGAAGTGGAATCATTGAAACAAAATGACATCTTTACTGTTGAGGGATTTTCTGCATAAATAAACATTCCCTCAAACTTCTGACCAGTCACAGAATACTTTGCTCATATTTCTGTGAGAAAAAGTTCGACTTGTGTCTCATGTCAAAAAGAGGCAGGCAAAAGTACTCTCACAACAAAGTATAGCAGTTTTTGTCAAGCAACTACATCGAGAGCCAATTTTGCTGCTTCGAATGGAGGATGAGATGACCTTTAATCAGAGTGAAATCTTGTGAAATCACATGATTGATCATAAAGTCATTTTCAGGGCTATACTTTTGACATTTCTCAACGAAAGATAATCTTAGTCTAAAGCTCAGGTAATATGTATATTCAAGTAACGCTAAACCTTTATTTTTATATCCTTATAAATATAACAAAGTAAATACACAATCTGTTTATTTTTTTCCCGCCACTGTTCTGTCTCTTGTGCTTTTCCACCCTCAGGTTGTGATGTTTGGTTCCCACGGCCCGGTTCCAACAGTTCTGAGGCCAGCGCGTTTCCAGCAGACCCATTAAAGCCTGTGATGCTGTTCGATGTAGAAAAGGATCCTGAAGAGAAATATGAGGTGTCAGATAAGTTTCCCAAAGTTGTTGAGTACCTCCTCAGCAGACTCCAGAAACACCAGAAAACTGCGTTACCCATAAACTATCCTGATGATGACCCCAGATGTGACCCAGGCCCTTCTGGAGCCTGGGGGCCTTGGGCCTAAGTGGAGACCCCAGTGAATGGCTGCAGGGATGTATGAAGAAGAATCGAACAAGAATCTTATGAAAATTGTTTGCACTTCCTTTACAGGGGAAAATTTAAACGGGGAACCGTTTTAAATCACTGTGGGGGGAAAAAACTTTAGTTTTTGATGTTTAGAACAAAATTAGTATCAAAGGTTTTTTATGTTTTACACCACCTGATGATGCTTTCCTTGTTCAGAATCAGAAGCGTTTTATTGTCATTCACACACTACATCAAGATGCAGTCCAGGAGGAAATGCAGTTTAGAACATCCGTCCGGAGAAACACACACACATGACAAACATGGGGGAAGGATTGTCCAGGATCTTTCGCAACTTAGTGCGCTTACCTTTGCAATTTAGAATACACACACACATAGGAAGGATGAGTTAAAAAAAGAGATTTGATCTTGTGTTTTATACAGAAAAACACACAAGCATATGCTCCAAAAACTACTCTTTGCGAAAGTGCAGTCAGTTAGGGAGGGGAGGGGAGTGGGGGGTCAAAATATATGGTATGGGGAGGGGTGCAGAGGAGCCGGTGAGATACAGGACAGACTTCGTGCCGGAACCAACAGAAGACCTACAGAGTCCAACCAGCTGTTTACAGTCAAAGCTCAGGTCACCAGAGTTCAGTTCTTTGTCTCCACACAACACGGCCTTCAAACCAGTCCAGACACAGGTGTAGGGGTCACCTCGAGTGAAGAAACAGGAGTTACTGCCTCAAAGCAGGTCTCAGAAAGGCCTGGCCGAAGGCAGGAACACTGAACTCTATCTTAGGCCATGACAGGTCATTTCAACCTACAGGAGGACTTCAGTTCTCTTAATCATATTAGACAGAAACAATCTTTGCTGTTCGTGATTCATTTATTGTTTAACTAAGAATGTTTATGCATTTGTTCATCATAATAATGACATGTCACAAAGAAGATGCAATCACTTCTATTCTTTTATCGTGCCTAAAAGATTAATTAATGGTATAAAATCACAGAAAATCATCACTATGTTTTCATTGTGTTTTTATATAAATCACTGTGTTATTTTACTGGAAACATCATTAATATAATTTTGAGTTTTCTTAAGAAAATCTTACATTTATCTGGACACCAAGTTCAGACTGATTATTTAAACAGAAATGTTAATTAATCATCATAAATGTTTTACAGTGATTTCCCTTAGAATCTATCAGAAAGAAGCTAAGAAGATATTATCAAATGTCTGTTAAAACAGTTACAGAATGTGACCTTGCACTGGCGCCTGGCAAAGTCTTATCTCTCTTTTCTTTTTCTGACTCATGCTAAACGCCTCAGGGCGGATCCAAGGCGTCCGACTCTCTGTACTAACACGGACGTCTTGGACAGACGGAAGAGTCTTCTTCCTGTATGCCGAAACGGGAAGATCGGCTTCTTCTCTCCGGAGAACAGCCGGGCCGCAGGTCTGACTCAGGAGCCAATTCGAGTAGGCTTGCCGGCCAGGACAGAAGCAAGCCGCCTTCTGTCCACCAGAGACATACGTCTCTTCAGTGTTTTCAACTCCCGATGGGAGAACTTTTATTTTGAAGGACGACCGGAACTGTTCAGCTGGAATCTTTCTAGCCGGGGCTGAAACAGACGAAAAGCCACCTGAAAACACCTTTACGCCAAGGACCAGCAGGTACAAGCTTCCTGGATGGTCGTGGCGAGACAGTTCATACCAGGTTTGCCTTAAGAAAACATCCCCAGGTAAAACTGACGTGTTCGTGGTGACGTGTCAAGTTGAAGTCTGAGCGCAGAGAGGACGTGCTGATCCGGTTGTCACTTACACCTTACCAGAATAAAAGCAGAAACACTAATCCCTAATTTTCATCATCTTTTCTTACCCTTTCCTTTGCCAACCCTAAGTGAAAGTGCCAGTAAATTGTTTAGTTTTAACATCAGAACTGACATTTATTGTTCTATATAAGCAATCTGAGTTAATGTGAAAGAAAAGTCGGACGCGGGTTTTTATCTCATTTTAACTTGGACGCTGTTATAGGAAATCCACAATCAGGTGTAAACTATGATTTGTTCAAGTTGTGTAAATAAATGATTGCATAATATTTTATGAATCAATTTGAACTCGTCTGACGTTCCCTTATTGTGTCACACTTCACTTTGTACAGACAAATATTAAAGTAATGAGAAAAAACCTTGGTAAAATTTCCTCTCATGACTTTGTTATGAGAAGATGTAGGGGGACCTATTTTACATAAGTCATTTCCCTTACACAGGAGCGAGTTGGGGTGGTAGGGGGGATCAAGGTTTCCCTCTCACGAGTCATTCCAGGGAGGTGTTTATCAGCCTGTAACGTAAGGTTATACAGTGGTTTGCAAAAGTATTCATACCCCTTGAACTTTTCCATATTTTGTCACATTACAACCACAAACATAAATATATTTCACTGGA